TTTTCTTAGGACAGCCTCTTCCCAGAGTAGTTAATTAATGCATTTCTGACTTGCTTATCTAATTGCTGCATAATTTGTTCAGCTTGGCCCAATGTCTCAGTCCATCAACTCGTTCAATTAGCAAGTATCAGCCTGTGCAATAAAAACAATCCCATGTGGGAAAGGGAGAAATTCACCTGAAGCAACCAGGAGAATTTGCCCTTCAGAGTGGGACAGAGTAGTACAATAACATCCCAGGAATACCCCAGTTATTCTACACATTCTGCAAAGGTAAGCTAAAGCTCTATGGAGACCACAGCCAAGATCATCTTTGGCACAATGATGCTCTTCTGACATAATGGTATATCATACCATACATGCATAGTGGCATGGCTATATGTATGATATACCATACCATACATACTGGTATGGCCAGTCTAGAGAAAAGAAGGACTAGGAGTGACGTGATAGTGGTATTCCAGTATTTGAGGGGCTGCCACAAAGAAGAAGGGGTCAAACTATTCTCCACAGCACCAGAGGGCAGGACAAGAAACAATGGATGGAAACTAATCAAAGAGAGAAGCAACCTGGAATTCAGGAGAAACATCCTAACAGTGAGAACAATCAACCAGTGGAACAGCCTGCAGAAGTTGTAGGTGCTTCATCACTGGAGGTTTTGAAGAAGAGATTGGACAACCATTTGTCTGGAATGGGAAATTGAGCAGGGAGCTGGAATGGGAGACCTCCACAGTCCCTTCCAGCTCTATTGTGGTTGATTGAATGATTGATTGATTGATCGATCGATCGATCAATTGAATAAACAGGACAGATTGTCTCAAACAGGGATTCCTGAAAGGACCTTTCAAGCTTATGACCTTCAGAATGGAAGATTAGCAGACAGAGTTGTCTCCACCAACGTTTCCTCTAAGCTAGTGTTTCTCATCCTTGGCCACTTTAAGGGGGTGTATTTCAACCTCCCCATGGCTGGCTGGGGAATTCTGGGAGTTGAAGTCCACCTGTCAAGGTTGAGAAACACTTCACTAAACAGCAGAATTTCTGGGGTGGGCACCGGAAGGGAGGCTGCTCTCCAAGGTACTGAAAACGATTCCCCTAAAGAGCGGGCAGTCCACGATCCGCCTTCAGCCTTTGAGTGGCCGGAGCCCCCTGCCTCCAGCTTCCTGAGGGCAAAACTACAACATTCAGTTGCAACAATGGCGTGTTATGGATTGTGTGGCTTCTATTTTTATTTCCCCCCAAATAAAACTAGATTCAACCTAGAAATTTCCTGACAGTGATAACAGTCAACCAATGGAACAGAGGTTGTCTTTGGAAGTTGTGGGAGCTTCATCCTTGGAAGCTTTCAAGAAGAGACTGGATGGCCATCTGTCAGAAATGGTGAAGGTTCTCCTGCTTAGGCAGGAACGGGGGGTGGACTAGATGATCTACAAGCTCCCTTCCAACTCTGTTATTCTGACCAAGTGAAAAATGATCACGAGCCACTTTTTTCAGTGCCATTGTAATTTTGAACAGTCACTAAACAAATGGTAAGTTGAGAACTACCTGAACATGGTAACTGTACAACAAAATCCCATTGCATCTTCCACCTCCAAACCTACAGATTTTACTTGAAATTTGAAGGCAGGCGAGCCAGTTGCTGTGAGCAGCCTCAAAAGAGTTGCTCTTGGCAGCCACTGGGCTACAGGAAGAGGGACCCCCATCCCAAAGGCCAGATACCTTATTTGTGCAGCCTTAAGATAGCTGCTAAGCTGTGCATCATGTTCCCAGCAATCTGAATGGAGCCTGAAGGAAGCAGCCCTAAACTTCACTGTCATGTGCTGCCATCTGTGGCCCGAAATAGTCATTGCTGCATGAAGCAAAACATCCTTAATCTCCAATTCAAGGTCACCTCTAATTAAGTGTCACTTGGGGCTAATTAAGTGGATAATCAAAGATGATATACTCTTTAACACAATTATGTACTATTTTTAGTCCCTCCAAGATAGCTTAAAAGTAGCAAAAGGAGAAATCTTTTGGCTCTCTCTAAGGGCAGATGGAGAAATGTATCTGATAAATAGAAATGATGTGTGGAATCAGGGGGGAGGGGCGGTGGTTTGGGGTCCCCCCCCCTCTCAGAAAGGTAGGCAGTGCAGGCTCTGCTTACCCACAACTCCTCCCACCGCTTCTGAGCAACCCAGAGGGAGGATTGTTCAAGGCATTCAGGGTCACGTTTATAAAATAGGCGGCTGTACAAATGGGAGGGAGGGAATAGTACCCCAGTATCTCAGGAATACTGTACATTAGAACTGGGGTGGCATAAGATCACTGAAGATTGAGCCTGATGGCTATAGTTGGGATGGAGAGGCTTGCTCTTTTTTTCAGATAGATAGATAGATGAGAGGGTGGGGGGAGAGAGAGAGAGAGAGAGAGAGAGAGAGAGAGAGAGAGAGAG